GTGAGTAGCAATGTTTAGATGTAGAGAAGAGTTAGAGTCCTGTAGATTCTCTGTGAATATAGTTTATTTGTTATGGTGGTAGTTGATAGTATTCTGAGTAGGTGAGTGAGTTGGTTCTATTTTATTGTCTAAAAATAAATTATTTTCAATATTTGGTGCATTAAACAGGTGGGTTAAAGAGGCAGAATATGTGGTAGTATATGATTTAAGTGGGGTTTGTAAAAATTTTTTAATTGTCTTAATAGTTAATTAAGTATAGTTTTGAAGTATGCTTGATTCATTGGGTAGATATATATATGCTTCGTGATGTGAGTTGTGTATAGAGAATCTTAGATCAGGTTTAAAGTTTGAGTATCAAAGTATTTTCTAAACATCTTATAAGAGCATTATCTATATATTTTTTATGTATATCTGATGCTCTTTTCTTTTTATATTCTACAGTACTTGCTGTTGTAGATATGCTATGACTTGCTATTGTGTTCAAGTCCTTATTAATCATACCTATTTAATTTAAATAATAACTAAGATCAAGCTTAAAAGTGTTAATTTTTAAATTATTTAATAAAGCAAGTAGATAACATAGTAGTACAATTAATTTCTTTATACAGTTCATTATTTGCTTATTATATTCAAAAGACAAAGCTGTAAAGTAAAGCTGGTTAATAAATTCTACTAAGATTTGGTTAGTTTCTTAAAATAATTCTTACATTTTATCAAAAATATAAATAAAGGTTTTTGTTTTATATGCTCTTTCTAATAAAACATTTTTATTATTTCTTTAATAACTTTAATAAGTTCAATCTTTATACTTTCTTCTTTCATTATATTTGCTTCAATTTTTTTACTTATAGGTTTTACTTTAAGACCTCTTTTTAGAAGATTTTAACCAAATTTATATAATAAGAATTATATAAAATATCTTCTTCTTTCCATATCACCTTTATTAAATTATTGCTTTTAGTCTCTTTCTATTTGTTTTTGTTTAACAAATGAAATTTAGTCAACTTAGATGCTTGGCAGGTTGATCTTTAGTATAGGTGGGCATATATAATTATTATACAATTATAACATATATAATTTAATTATTTTGAACTAATTTAATTAATTTTTGTAAATTATTAGGGTTAGGGTTAAGGTTAGGGTTTAAATTAGCTCAAATTAGTTAGGTTTTATATATTATAATCTTATAATAATTTATATATACACACCTATATTAAAAAAGATCCGCTTGGCATTCCTTATGTTCCTTTTTGTTTGACATATTTTCTTCAAATAAAACTTATCATGCTTTTCAAATTCTTGTAATCAGCAGATAATCACCAATCATATGAAAATGTGTAAAATTCTCTTAAATTCTTTATTTTTTTTAAAAAATTGCCACTACAAAGTCACAATTCTAAAGATTCCTTGTCAAATTCTGATTCTTTAGTATAATATCTATTAGTATACTAGATATTGTTTTAGTTAACAGGATGGTTATAAAAATTTCCTGATTTTTTTTTCTAAATTTCTTTATCAATACAGTATATATATTTTTAGTATTAAAAAAATTTAAATTACTTCAAATTAATAAATATGTATTAATCGATTAATAAAGTAATTAATTTAAGCTAAGTTAGTAAAAAATGCTGAAATTATTTATTTAACAATATAATCAAACTAATATTATCAAATAATATATTTATTAAAAATTTTATATATAAAATAAAATTTTACAGTAAAATGTATTAGTTGCATAATGTTTGCAATAGCCTTTTAGATAATATCTATTATTAATGAATTAGTAATTTTTTATTGCTAACCTAATAATATAAAGCTAATTCTAGATATCACGTTTCTTTAGTGAAGACCTCAAATGGTGCATAGTCTATTTGTATTATGATGGTTATTCAAAAAGAGAAATTACATCCCTTTTATATGTAAGTAAATTATTGGTGAATAAAACTTTAAGAATATACCAAAAATAGAGTTCTGTTATCCATCTGTAGTGCCAAGTTCCAGGGCCACGAAAGACCTTTGATAGGAACAATATGAATATATATAATTTATTTCAGTATTAAATATGTAAATTACTTGTATTTACCTTTATCTATTTGCTATGCTTATATAATTGAGATATTGCAGCAAATTGTTAGAGATAAGGTTAATTGGTTTTTGAATAAGCTTGTTGGAGATATGGAGAGATGCACTGGAAAGTTAGTATCAATTCCAACATTGTGAAGATTAATCGCATACTGCAGCATTATACGAAAAAAGATTAGTTTATATATATAATCAAAATTATATACTACTTTTTAGTTCTAATTATTATAAAATAAATACCTTTGATCTTATATATTATTTATCTAATATACATATTTTGATTAGCTTTATAAAGAAGCCAAAGAATATAATAAGATCATTCGAAGTATCTTTATAGTATACATTGGTACACAATACCGATCTGACTAATTTGTGTTCATAAACAAATCCTCTAAAGATGAGTGGTCTATATTATGAGGTTATGGATATTTTCAAATAAACACTTTAGTAAAAAAAGAGTCATATTCGTCATGGGGTAAAATATACAATTTGCCCAGCTCTAACTTTGCAGTGAATAATTACCATTAATATTGTCAAGGGCAGTTTTACAAAATCTAGATTTAATGAATTCATTATAAATCAAGTTGTAAGTATAATGATAAATTGTTTCTAAACTTATATTGTTGCTATACTACTAATATTTTTATCTATTTGTAGTTACCCAAAATGATTCATACCCTCATTCTAATAGTATTTTGGTGTTAGATAATGCATAAATCCAGCATAATGATGGATTGTGCAAATACTTACATGCTTTTGGAGTACAGGTTAAGTTTCCTCTCTCTATTCTCCTAATCTCAACCCGATTAAGACAATATTTTCTTGGATTAAAGATACTTACAACAATATCGTTACTTTGTTGCAAATTCATATAATATCTATTATTGGTTGTATGTGCACAAATCACATCAGATATGGCAAAAAAATGTTTTGGAAATTCTGGATACAAATAATAAGACTTATAGTTTTGGTAATTAGATTATACTAATTAACTAAAATAGATCATGCATATACAAATATAAAAGGGTAAATCTGACCTAGTCAAAATTGGCTAGTATAGAGGAAGTTCAATTTATCAATTTATACATTTAGTTGATTTAACGAATATATTCATTATGTATCTACTAATAGTGCGAAAGTATAAAAGCACTACTTTTTGCATACAATAAAGATAGTTCAGCAAGTATGCCCAGTTAGAGTTCAATATTGTTTGGCTCTATTAATTCCCTTCCAATAAGTAAAATCTGTATTAACAATAGAAATTAGTAACCAGATCTCATGATTTAGTATTAAGAGTAGTCTAGAGCTTTAATTAATCCTAGTTACTCAGATCAAGTCTTTTTATACTTCGATCAAAGCCTTACTATTATTAGAGCTTAGTTAGAGTTGTTTAGTTTGTATTAGTGTTGTATTCCTACTAGTTTCAATAAGAATATATGAAAATAATTAAGCTTAGTTGACAAGTTGTTACAATTTTTTTTATAATTTTTATTTGAATATTTGTAGCTAGATTATATCTTTTTTTTTTTTTTTAGCAGATTTATACTAACCTTAACTAATCTATTTTTCCATATTGATATATGCTGTATAATATCGATATAATGATAATATACATACATAAGAGTAAAAATACTTATTCTTTTTCTGGTTATGCAGTCTATTGTTTCAAGTACTGTATTTTTTTTGATAATAATATAAATAATTTGAACCAACTTGATATTTTTAAATAACCTAGAAAAGAACAGATATTTTCTGTACTGGTGTATGTGCTTGAACCAGGTTATAACAATGTCTTACAATCTAATCAACTCTTTCTGTTGTAATAAACTGACAGTTCTAGAAGAAAAAAGTTCTTTATAGAGAATTACTATATTTTTTTAAGTACTAGTGCATTTTCTATACCTCATTATATCCAGAGTTTATTATATTAAGGTTTGTTATAACCAGAGTTGATTATATTTTGCAATATGTTGCAAAGTTTTCTTGAAATCTAGATAAGGCCATACAAATTTAATTTATTGATTTTCATAACATGAAAATTTTAAACTGACCTGGCTGGCCGGCTTTTTTTTTTAAATTTCATATATAAAAATTTTATAAAATTTTTAGAATTTTTTTTTAAAAAATCCACCCGGTTATTAAAACATATAAAAAAATTTTTTTACAAGTTTTTGAATTTCGACCCAGCCGGGTTATGAAAATCAATTAATTAATTTGGCATGGCCTAATGGAGTTTTTAGATAATTGAATGACAGTATTTTTGGTGTAGTAAATAAATATTTGGGTAAAAGTCATAAATATTTAGAATAAAAAATATCAGGATTAGTACATGTTTTAGATTGTAGTATTTATTTGGGGATAAAGGATAAACACTAAACATTTATGTGGGAAAATAAATAAAAATTTAACAATAGACAACTCAATTTAAACAAATAGATATAGAAAAAACTTGTATAAGCAATGCAAAGCACATATATTTTAAATTCAAGTAGTACATACTGATACTATATAACAATTATACACAAATTCTTTATTACATATTGAATAAGTACTATTTGTTCATTATTTTTAGCTCCAATACTATAATAGTAACAACTTTTGATTAAAATAATAAACATATTTTTATGATTTTAATATGATTCTATTACTAAGACAAATATCAAAATATTTGAATAGTATCATTTTCTCTCGAATTTAAGAATTTCTTATATGCATCCTTCCTTTTCTTTTATAAGCAAGATTAAGTTTCATTAGCATCTTCTAATTTGAAGCTTGATATTTTGCTGCATATTCACATAGGGTTCATTATGCACCAATAGTGTCAACTTTACATAGCTTGAATTCTCTATATGTTAATTTTTGCAAGTATTTTACTAGAATTTTTTGGCTTCAAACGTTTCTAAAAAATTCTAATAATAATGACCAGTTCCTTTTTTTCTCATCTACTTCTTTTAAAAATTCTATCATGGAAAGTAAGGTAAAGAAAATATATAAATCAGATTGAGTAGTTGAAGGCTGTAAAGAAATATGAGATAATGTTTGATAAGGATTATATAGAATTGAAAACATTGGTGTTTAAAATGTTTGAGGTCCAAAGAACCAATTGCTATTTTGCTGTAATTGTTGTGATGGCAGTGCTAGTTGTGATAAAACTAATAGTATTTGTGGTTGTAGTAGCAGTGGTAGTAATTGTGGTAAAACTAATAGTGTTTGTGTATGTGGTTGCAGTGGTGGTGGTAATAATTGTGATAAAGCTAATGATGTTTGTTGCAATAATAGTGATAAAATTACTTGTTGCTGTTGTACTCGTGGCGATGGTGGAGATGATAAAGTTGAAGTTATTTGTGATTGTAGTGATGTAACTAATGGCAATCTTAAAGAATATATTTTTTTAGATAATAAATTAGCATGAAAAAAGAGGTAATGCATTAGAAGGCTTTCGATTGTAGTTAATCCTTTATTCTAAAAAAAATATAAATATATATTATAAGTATAAATAAATTCTTAATTATATATTATATATTTATTATTTTTATACTATGTTTGAGGCCCATATTGATAGCATCATAAAGGTAACTTCGACATGTAGTTCCTTATTATTTTTCTTATTTAGGTAGAGTTGATTATAAATATTACAATAATGTACATTTCAAATTTCTAGAACATTTTCAGCAATCATCTTGTCATATGAAGATAAAGATAAAATATTGGAAATTTGATTTTCTTTATAATTGCTTGATCTTTCACTATCTTCATCTTCATCTTAATCTAATTTCTACAAAATTTATATATAGTTATTATAGAACCTTTTTAATGTTGCTAATATGATTTCACATTATAATAAAATCTGATCACAGGTGTAATATAATTAAAAATAATTACAGATAGTATTGCATGCATATCATTAAAAATTCATTGTGTATATATTATTATTTGCAAATTTTTAACAATAATGTATGTATTGTAATATTAACGAATTTTTATTAACATTTTTCTTATAATTTTCTTTAAATTTTATTATATATTTTATATGTTAATTATATATTTTATCATTTTATTAGTTTATTTACATAGTTTATAATATATTTTATCTATTTTAGACGTTTTTACAATAGTTTATTACATATTTTATTAGTACACTTTTTACAGAATTCTATTTAAAGCAATATTTGCTTTAATATTTAATTATTAGTTCATTTAATGTAATGGTATACAAAGCAAGGCTACACAAGTAACACAAAATACATGAGGTGCCCCAAGATGCTTCAGGACCTTCTAGAATGATGTATTAATAGCCATTTAATTGTATTACTAATTTTAAAAATAATAGCTTTATTAGTTAGTTTATAGCATTATTTTATATCATTATTATATAATATTGTTAGACGGCATTATTAGATGGCGTTATTTCATGTTGTTATCATTTTTATAACTATTTTTAGCCTTAAAATAGCATTATGACGACTAAAATAATAGTATATAGTATTATTGCAATGATTTGCAATAATTGATATTAGTAATATAATGATTTATAGTATTATTTCCTAGTATTATTACATGTTATTATATGGCGTTATTGAAAGATATATAAACTCTGCCTTTTCTCCAAGGCAGAGGGACATCAATATATGCTCCCCAATTAATTCTTTGAATATTTACATCGCTTCTGAGTATATTTGACCCTTCTCTTTACCTATTTTCTTGTATTAAAAGCCTTATTATTGCATAATAAACTGTAATTCTATATTGAATATATAGTGGGTTTATAG